TCTGGGCCTGGGTTAGGAGCAGCAGCACAGGGAGATGGGAGATACTGTCTGCCCTGTAACTTCGCACTTCCCAGTCCGAAATGTTAAGACTTTCTTTCTCTTCCTTTCAGATCCACGAGACAATAGAAACTATCAATCAGCTGAAGACCCAGCGGGAATTCATGCTGAGCTTCGCCAGGGACCCTCAGGGTTTCATCAATGATTGGCTACAGTCCCAGTGCCGGGACCTCAAGGTAAAGAACCTACGAAAGGTGCATAGGGACTTAGGTCGGTGAGGCACACATTTGCTTTATTTTTGTAGCATCTGGTAGAAGAGCCAGAGGGGGAGGTGAAGGACCATATTGTCTTTAGCCTGCTCTTGGGTCCATTTTACAATCAAGTAGGGAAATGGAGGTGGAACCGCCAAGTGTTTCTCTAGTACTTGGAGGCGTCACTGTGTACTGTATCGTAGTGGGTGCAGAGGGCAAAACTGGATCTCTGCTTTCAAAGTGGTCTGCATTCTGTTTGGAGAGACTAGGCTGTGAAGTTTTGTTTTGTTTTATTTTTAAGATATTTATTTATTTATTTATTTATTTGACAGAGAGAGAGAGAGAGATCACAAGTAGGCAGAGAGGCAGGCGGGGGGTGGTGGGAAGCAGGCTCCCTGCTTAGCAGAGAGCCCGATGCGGGGTTGGATCCCAGGACCCCAAGATCATGACCCGAGCCAAAGGCAGTGGCTTAACCCACTGAGCCACCCAGATGCCCCTAGGCTGTGAAGATTTATGCAGTTAGTTAGTTAAAATGTGAAGATGTAATTGGTCTTATTTAATAACTCACGAATTGGGCAGCATCCCTTCTAGGAAATGGGCACTCTGAGGAGTTGTACAGAATGAAGGTTTTGATAGACAGGAGTGGGGGGCGGAGCAAGGAAGTTATTAGCAAAAGTAAAGAAAGGATTGTTTCAGACCAGGTTATTTTCTTTTGAGGGGAAGGGAACCGACTGATCTGATTTAAAAAGTTGTAAATCATGTGAGACGTTATCCGAACTCACCGCTACCACCGAGATCGTTCAAGGGAGAAGGGAGGTGGGTGAGGCTGGAACAGCTGGGGAATGCCCCCTGGTGAATTTGGGATTTGAGCTGTTTCTCAGGGGAGCACCATAAGCTCAGGCAAGGAGGTGGGGGTGAGCACTGAATGAGTGAAACGTGCCCCTGGTTTTCTCCTTTCCTGTGCAAGGTGACTGACTAATTACGGAGGCTGAGCAGAGGAGCAAGGGATCAGGGTGCCAGAAAGGGACCCTGAACGGAGCAAGGACTCGTTGATAGCAGGGGGTGGCTTCAGTCGTGTGTTAGTAGTTTGCGAGGGCCGCCATAGTAAAGTACCACAAACTGAGTGCCTTACACAAAAATTTATTTTTATCTGGAGGCTGGAAGTCTACAGTCAGGGTGTTGGCAGGGTTGTTTCCTTCCGAGGGCTGTGAGGGAGAATCTGTTCCAGGCCTCTCTCCTAGCTTATGGTAGCCTCACACATTCCTTGGTTTACAGATGGTGTTCTCCAAGTGTCTTCGCATCATCTTCCCTCTGTGCATGTCTGTCTCTGTGTCCAAGTTCCTCCTTTTTTGTAAGGGTAGCAGTCTTGTTGGATTGGGCCCACCCTAATGACCTTATCTTAACTTGATCATCACAGAGATCCTATTTCCAAGTAAGATCGCATTCCTAGGTCCTGGGGGTTAGGATTTTGACATCTTTTGGGGGGATATAGTTCAATCCATAACAGGTGTGAAGGAGGGAGACAAGTCTTTTCTCCTCTCTCTTCCCTCTCCCATATCCCCCAGACCATGACCGATGTGGTGGGGAACCCGGAGGAAGAGCGCCGAGCCGAGTTTTACTTCCAGCCTTGGGCTCAGGAGGCTGTGTGCCGATACTTCTACTCCAAGGTAGGCGCCTGGGCATGGGAAACTGATGAAAAGCCAGGGGTCTGAACTCCGGATGGGGGCCAGTGGTAGGAGATGCCAACTTCTGGTTTGTCTTATCCTCTACTCTCTCCACTGTTTGCTCTCTAGGTGCAGCAGAGACGACAAGAATTAGAGCAGGCCCTGGGAATCCGAAACACATAGGGCCTCTCCCATAGCCCTGATTGGGCTGCACCGATTCTCGTATTTGGGCCCTGAGCTGCCTGCCTCATAGCACCTGCCTTGGTCTTGCTTGGGGCCTTCCAGGGGATGCTGTTGGTTCGAGGACAACACCAGAATGAAGAGGGTCTCACATTTCTGTCTCACAAGACACCTGTCACCCTCTTCTCCCACCCCATCCCTTCCTGTCCCCCAGCTTCCCTTTGCCCCACAAAGTTCCCATGTGCCTCTACCCTCCCCAGGTCTACATAGGACCTCTAGGTAGTGTTAGAGAGAGAACCTGTAGTGGTAATCAGTGCATTGACTGGATTGGGCCTAAGGCCAGGTGGTCTTCAAGGGGACCAGCTATACTGATCCTGCCCTTCAGAGACCCAGGAGTTGGGAGCTCTAGCCCCTTCTCTGAGACTCAGGCCTGGGGGCACTCTATAAGCTAGTTGATCTTGGCTTTCCAGATAACAGAATCCAATTTCCTCCCTTCCTTCCCTCCACAGGTTTGGAGCACACTCTCCCTTTACTTGTTGCCCTCTAGCACTAAAGGAACCCTGGTTCTTGGGCCCCACTGAGCCCCAGGTCAGTCTGCAGCCCTCTGGATTGGCCTGCTGTCTCAGTGCTTCTCTTACTCCCTTGTAGGGGGTCCACATCAGTATTGGAGTTTGTTCTTTAACTAGTGCTCCTTCCCAGCACACTCCCTGTAGCTGCTGTTTTTAGGATTCCCTGCTATCGATCTGTCCAAACGCAGGGCATTTGGGCGGGGGAGCCTTGCCTTTCCCGGTCAGAGTCCCAGGGATCTAACCTGGGGTATTGTCATTGCTGGCAGACGCTGTTCCTTCCTGGTGTTGCTTGGAGGCGTGACTCATTTATTCACTCCGCCCTGCCTCCCCTATCCCTTCACGGAGAAACAGGCCTGAAATCAAACGGGTAAAAGCCCTGGGCCGTCCCTGTCTTCCTGTCCCTTGTCTGCCCAGTTGACACCCACTGGTGACTTCTAGGGCACTGAGGAGTGAAAGCGCCTAGGGCTGGCGAATAGCTCTGAGTTGGGTTTGTGACTCTTCCCTCTCCCTGCCTCACAGGATTGTGACTCCCCAGCCCCTGCCCTCAAAGCTTCAGACCCCTCAGGTAGCAGCAGGACCTTGTGATCTTGGCCCCTTGGAACTGAGATGGTTTTGCATCTTTCCAGGAGAGCCTCAGATTCTTCTTCCAGGTTGTATCACCCCAAGTTAGCATATCCCAGGCTCGCAGATTCAACATAGCAGGGTGGGAGACAGCTGGGCACAGAGGGGGAATTCCGTTCAGCCTGGGCTCTAAACCCACAGAACTGACAAAGCCCCTGCTTCCCCACCCCCTCCTCAGGCTCCTGCGAGCACATCCTCCAGCCCCATAGCCCCGCCTCTTCCACACCGGGGACAGAATTTTCTCCCCATCTTTCCCCTCCTCCCATTATCCCATCCCTCCCTTAAAAGGTTCTCCCCACAGACACTGGACAACCTCTGTCCTTGGGGCTGGAACCATGAGAAGGAAGTTCAGCACTCCTACACTGTCCCTGTTGAAGATAACTGTTTTTATTAACTGAATTATTATGTTTTTTTCATGGACCAAAATTTTTTTTGTACTGTCCCCTTACCGATGTCACCCAGTTTTAATAAAAGAATCTTCTGAAGGATGGGTCCCCCTACCTACTGAGGGAGAGCTCTTCCCTGGGCTCTTTCTCTGATACCATTAGCCACGCTCATGGTGTCTCTTCATTTTATTTAAATAACTATTTATTGAGCACCTGCTATGTGCCAGCTGTGGTGCTAAGCACTATGGATATGGTGGAAAACAAGGTTTCTACCTTGTGGACCTCCAGTTCTCACCTTCGAGTTTATTCTGTCAGCCCAGCAGTCCAAGCAAGCTGGGTAACTGTTGGGATTATTGGACTTCCTCACTGAATCTGACAGTCCTGCCCCCAGCTCTCGGTAGGGAGGTACCACAAGACAGTGGCACTGCCATCATCCCCCTTATCTTGAGCTCCCCGTGGCACCCGCTGGCTTGAGAGCACGGCCTGGGGGCACCTGCAGTTCCTTAGGCTTGCCGATCCTGAGCCACCTGTCGGCGAGTTCCTTGCAGGGTTTCCCTCTATGAGGGCCTGCTCAGCTGAAGACATCTGTGTGACTCTGCCTGTCAATCCTCTTAAGGTTCCAATTCCATCACCCTGAGCGATTTCAGTTCGTTCTTTTTTTAAGAGATTTTATTTGGGGGCACCTGGGTGGCTCAGTGGGTTGGGCCTCTGCCCTCGGCTCAGGTCATGATCTCAGGGTTGTGGGATCGAGCCCCGCATCGGGCTCTCTGCTCAGCTGGGAGCCTGCTTCCCCCCTTTCTCTGCCTGCTGCTCTGCCTACTTGTGATCTCTCTCTCTGTCAAATAAATAAGATACTTAAAAAAAAAGATTTTATTTGACAGAGAGACAGCACAACTAGGCAGAGCAGCAGGCAGGAGAGGGAGAAGCAGATTTCCCACTGAGCAGGGAGCCTGAGGGAGGCCTCCATCCCAGGATCCTAGGATCATGACCTAAGCAAAAGGCAACTGCTTAACGACTGAGTCACCCAGGCTTCCTGAGATTTCAGTTCTTAAGACCAGCATGGAAGTACCATGTGATTCTCATGCTACAGCAAACCTGCCCATCGGCACAGTAGGGAATACCGCTCAGGACTGGTGTGTTAGCAGAAGCATGAAATTTTGTAGTTCCCATCATAATGTGCTCGCTTCTCACCTGGTGGCTCATACTTGTCTCCTTGGTGCTGTTATCTAGGTTGATTCTACCCAAGAAGGGGGTTTAGAATGTAGGATGAGTGCAACCACATTCCAAACTTGTAGTAAAAAAAAATTAACCTTTGCCTTCATGCATGGGAACGCCCGCGAACGTACTGCCTTGCAGGCAATCGAACCCACCCAGGTTACAACTTGTTCCCGATGTGGAACTTGGGGGTTGGGACTTGAGTAGGGAAAAAGAATGTGTGGGGGTGATAACTTGGGAGTGGAAAAAATTGATGTCAAGGACGTTGAAATGGCATCTGTTTTTACCCAGGCTAATTACATGTGTAATGAATGGCTGATGAACCATTATTAATTTCAAGCAAATAATCTACAGTTCGCTCTTGGGAAAAGAGCTCCAGTAGTACAGATAACTTCTGTGATGAGCCAATTCTGAGACTGCACACTCTTTATTCCTATATAAATGCACAAATTCGGGTCTCCATACTACTGAAAATGATTTTAAGGGCAAAATGAGAGATGGGAGAATTTAGGCAAAAAACAAGGGGTTATCTTATGCATAAACATCCATTCTCCGGGGTTCCTACCATATGCGCCAGGGACAGAAGCATTCTTTCTCTTCCATCTCCCATAATCAGTGTTCCCAGCTGGCACTTGGCACCGGTGCCTTTATCTCAGCACCAGTGCAATAATGGAGCGATCCATGGGAGGCTGGCTTTGTGGCAGGTGCAATTTTACTCCTAAGGGAAACCATCAACTACCAACTTCATGTATGCTCCCCTATGATAGGAACTCCATGGCCATGGGAGGGGAATATGGTGGGCCCCTCCTGGGCGGTCCTTGGAACTTAGAACAACCTTTTTTCTCCACAGTCTTGCCCTTGGGCCCATTTACCCTGACTCAGTGGTTGCACACAGACTCCTCTCTGGCCTAGTGCTCATTGCTGTTGCCAGCCAGCAGGGGCCCCAAGGGATGGAAACACCCACTTAGCAGTCTGCCAAGCCAGGAGGTCAGCACGTGAGCAGACAGTGGTGTCTGCCCTCTAGGCCAAGGTGCACAGACAGCAGATGTGTTAGGGGCATTTGCCCCACTCCAGATCAGCCTAGAAACCAGTTTGTCAAACAGATGGCTGCGGGTGATAATAGTGTCCTGGACTGCTCCGTGTGTGCTTTCCAACCTCTTCCCATGTCCCAAATCACACACCCCACTTACTCTGTTACAGGATCTGAGAACACAAAGCTCCACAGAAGTTAAAGCTGCCCCACATCCTGCCCTCCACCCCTTTCTGGCTTCTTGCAAACTAACCACTGACTTGAGGGAGCCCCTAGTGTGGTAGCTGGGAAATCCAAGAAAGAATTGAAGGACGCTCAAAGCCTCTTGAGGACAGTGAATGCTTTAGCTGCAGTCCTTTCTCTCCAGCCCTCTTCTCCAAGCCCGGAGTCTGCAAAGAAATTGTAGGCCACCTGGCATCAGAGCTTCTAACTGACCTTTCCCACTTTCTCTTCCTGGAAGACGTTCAGGTGAGGATCCTTTGAGGTGAGAGAAGCCCAAGGGTGAGTCCCTGAGATGACCTTGTCCCTTGGGGCTCCTGGGGTCTCTTATCCTTGGGCTCAGATGCCCCCAAAGCAGGCCCTTACCTCTTATTTTGTCTGATCTTTAAAAGTGAGCCCACACAGGGCCCCCTCACTCACAGCCCTGCAGCAGAGCTAGTGTGGGGCCAGTGACAGGTAGTCTCTGTCACTGCTAGGGGACAAACCTGTAGAGATTTTGGGCTCCTGGGAGGCCATGTGGGGTGATTGCTACCTTGGAAAAGAAAGCATTCCTGTATCTACTACTAGGATTGAATGCAATTTATTCCAGTGCTGGGAGACAGAAGGGAACGAGGAGGGGGGCAGTCACTTGCTCCTCATCTGGGCTGTTTCTTGGCAGACCTCAGAATGAGACCATTACAGGGAAGGAGGACTGGGGCCAAAGGAAGAAACTCACTAGCACCATCCACTGGCACCTAAAAGGAAGAGGGGCCTGGACTCTGCTGTTCCCCACCTGTCTCTACCCTTTTCTCTTTCCCTGGCTTTGCCAGAGTCCCTGTCTCCCCAGGCGCCCGCCTCCCCACCCGCCCCTGGAAGGCGGGACTTGGCTGCACCCACGTGTGGTGGAGTTATATGCTCCTAGTCGGCAGAAGAGCTGGGGAGCGGAGCACTGAGCTGAATCAGTTAGAGAAGTGGCACCATGGCTGGCAAGAAAGTCTGCATTGTAGGCTCCGGCAACTGGTAAGTGGCTCTGTCAAGCAGTACTTGGTGGAGGAGGTCCCCCCAAGAACACAGGGCTAGGGGAGAAGCAGGAGGCAGCCGGTGGGTAGGAAGAGCCCTCCAATTTCTGTTCCAGCCTTGCTATCTTCCGTGCCTACCCCCACAGAGCAGATGGTGCCCAAACCTCTCAGGTCCTTGCCTGCCCGGGCAGCTGCACCTGTTTGCTACAGGAAGGGAGCTTCCAGAGTGCTCCCTGCCTGAAAAGCTGCTTGGGGTTGGGGGTTGGGAAGATCAGAAGGCTGGTCCCCTTCTCAGGCTGTGAAGTGTAGGATAGACTGAGTCTCCTTTCTACTGCCAAGAACACACTTTCCTGGTGCTGGCGGGGGCAGAGGGGTGTGACAAGGAAATGGCAAGTAAATGATCTGGGGGGCTGCTGTGCTATCCCCTCACTGCCACCCTGTGCCTCCTCCTCTGTCACTGCTCCTCCCTCATGCCCCAACTCTTCCACCTTCTGTCCTCCCCCTCCCACCAGGGGCTCAGTTATTGCCAAGATTGTGGGAGGCAATGCAGCCCAGCTGTCACCCTTTGACCCACGGGTGACCATGTGGGTGTTTGAGGAAGACATCGGGGGGAGAAAGCTGACAGAGATCATCAACACACAGCATGAGAATGTCAAGTACCTGCCAGGGCACAAGCTGCCTCCCAACGTGGTGAGCCTCAAAACCCTGCAAGGAAGGGACAGGGAAGTGGCACAGTGCTTCCTGCCGAGAGGGGCCATTTCAGCTGTTCCTTGGACTTGGGAAGCATCTTGGGCCAGCTGCTCTCGGCACAGGGCACCCCTACGCACATCCCCCAAGGAGCTCTCCCAGGACTTTCTGGAACTGAGAACTTGAACCCACCTTCCCACCCCCATACACTTATGGGCTCCCAGGCAGCAAAGGGAGGGGGAGAGGACCAGGAAGTTGGTTTCCATGGCAATCAAAGACTGGGGGTCTGGGTAGCAGCTGCCTCAGGCTCTAGTCTGTTACTTATTCACTGGGCTATTAGCTGACCAGGAGGCTGCTCCTTGGACTTAAGGCCCCTGGTCAAATACATGTGGCTTGCTCCCAACCTGGAGAGGGAGAGCAGGAAAGACAGGGAGGGCTCTCCCTTCCCACTTGGGGGCCCTAAGAAGCAGGGTGATGAAATCTTACTTGGCCTCTTCCTCCTGCCAAGCCTAGGCTTCCTGTGGCCTCCCTCGCTGTCCCACAGCCAAGGGCTAGAAGCGTACTGAGTGGAGGTTCCCAGGAGTCCTCAAGAGCCCTGGGCAGCTGGAGCGAAAGGGAATGATGGTGAGGGGGAGGGAAGACGGTGTTTCATTCCTCCAGGTTCATCCCTTCCAGATTCAATCCCCCAACTGCCCTTCCTTTCCCCCAGCAGCCTCACTCTTTAGCTCCTAGATCTCCTGAATGGGCTTCTACAGGGGCTAGAAGTCTGTGAGGCCCATGAGCACTGGTCACCCCCACAGGTGGCTGTCCCAGATGTGGTCCAGGCTGCAGCAGATGCTGACATCCTCATCTTCGTGGTGCCTCATCAGTTCATTGGCAAGATTTGTGGTCAGCTCAAGGGCCACCTCAAGGCAAACGTCATTGGTGTATCTCTTATTAAGGTGCCGGAACAACTTCCTGTGGTTGGGGGGGTGCAGCTAACCCCTAACTGTGGGGTCAGGGTGGGGGAAGAGGGGAGAAAAAAAAAGTCAGAAGACGGCCAAGAGTTTTTTGGAGAGGGGAGTTGTTGTTTTGGGGAGGCTGAGAAATGGGTGCTGGGGGCCTCTGGGAAGGGGAGGCTGGTTGGGGAGTAGTTAAGAGATCGGTTTGGAGGCTGATGTCTTGAGGAGTTTAGGAGGCATACATGGGATGTCTGGGGGTATGAGAAGTGGGCTGGTTTGAGGAATGTGAAAGGGAAGCTGGTTTGGAGCAGTGTCTGGGATGGAAGCTGGTTTGGGGTACTTGGTGGGGGGGTTTATTTAGGGATGTGGAGGGGATACATTGCCTTGGAGAGGTAGGTTGATCGAAGGTGTGTAGAAAGGGAATTTTCAAATGGATTCGTTCCATGTGCGATCTACCGTCCTCACAGCAAGCTTTGGCTGGGTTGGAATGGGACAGGGCTTTTGGGGAGGGACACTGATGGACAGTGGTTTTGGAAGGGGCAGGATTTCTGGGTGGGAAGCCCTCAGTTGGGAATAAAGGGCACCTGGCCTGAGCTCCATCCTGTGCCCAGGGGGTAGACGAGGGCCCTCAAGGGCTGAAGCTCATCTCTGAAGTGATTGGGGAGCACCTTGGCATCCCCATGAGCGTGCTGATGGGGGCCAACATTGCCAGCGAGGTGGCTGATGAGAAGTTCTGTGAGACAACCATTGGTGAGAGCCCTATCATCACCTACATTCACAGCACAGCCTGTTATGTCCCCTCTCTGTACTCCCCTCACCCCCACTGAGCCATCTTCTCCCCATTAATCAGGCAAAGGAAGGAGACCCAAGCATCAGAGGTGAGGGAGGACTGGGACATCCCCAGGGAAAGGGTTGCAGGTCCTGCTTAGGGCAGGCGTGGTTAGAGTCAAGAATCCCCTTTGAAAGCCTTGCCCCCTTCCCACTTTAGGCTGCAAGGACCAGACCCAAGGAAAACTTCTGAAAATGTTGATGCAGACCCCGAATTTCCGCATCACAGTGGTGCAGGAGGTGGATACAGTAGAGATCTGTGGGGCGTTAAAGGTGAGAGGGGTGCAGAGGCAGCTGGGGGGTGGGGGGGAGAAGGCCCCAAAGGAGGGCCTGGCTTAGCTCTACCACGTTGCTGGGACTCCAGGCTCTCACTCTTGGGCAATTGCTCCTCTTCCCCACCAAGTCCCCCCAACACAGGAAGAACTGTAGCAGCAAGGTCAGGGTCATTCCAGCCTGCCAGTTATTCACCATCAAACATTGGGCCGCCTCCTTCCTTTCTTCCTGTAGCTCCTTGGGGGGCATCCCTATCCCTGCCTCCAGTGGGTGGTCCAGGGGTAAGAGGAGATGTCCTGGGGAAGGACCCTGGCTCATGGGAGATAAGACATCCAGGACACCCAGGTAGACTGATGGCCAGAACTCTGGATCTTGGATAGAGCTGAAGACATCAGGGATATGGAACAGAATAGTCATGGAGAGGAGGGTCAGCTGGACAGGAGACTGGTTTTCAGCTCAAGTTCTCAAGGCTTGGGGTATGGGGCAGCACTGGGGAGGCAGGAAGCACGGGGCCAGGGTTACAGGAAGTAGGAAAATCAAGAGGTGGAAACAGCTGGGGACCCCAGGCACACTATACTTCACTTATTCAGTAGTGTGTCCTGGCTGATGGAAGGAGCATGAGGCAGGTGCCGATGGGCCTGCCGGCAGGGATCCTTTCTCACCTGTGACCTCCACTCTCCAAAGAACGTAGTGGCCGTGGGTGCTGGCTTCTGTGATGGGCTGGGCTTTGGCGACAACACCAAGGCTGCGGTGATCCGACTGGGGCTCATGGAGATGATCGCCTTTGCCAAGCTCTTCTGCAGTGGCCCTGTGTCCTGTGCCACCTTCTTGGAGAGCTGCGGTATTGCTGACCTCATCACTACCTGCTATGGAGGGCGGAACCGAAAGGTGGCGGAAGCCTTCGCCCGCACAGGAAAGGTGGGACCCTGGGAGAATGGGGAATGGAGGGCAGCCTGACAGGTTCCAAGTGGAGGGGTTCAGCTTGAGGCGTCTCTCGAGCACAAACATTAAGACTGTTGTGAATATTCCGAACCTTTCTTTCCTCCAAGATCCCACCTCCCATCTGAGCCCCAGACTCTCCACCTCGCGCGCACAACCCTCCTCTCCCATTTCCATCTACCCGTCCTATTTTCTTCACAGCCCATTGAGCAGCTGGAGAAGGAGATGCTGAATGGGCAGAAGCTGCAGGGGCCCCCGACAGCCCGGGAGCTACACAGCATCCTCCAGCACAAGGGCCTGGTGGACAAGTAGGTGTCTGCCCCAGCCCCACTGGGGAAGGGGACCACAGCCATAAGTGCTCTCACATTCATCTTCCTGACCCCTCCTCCATCTGTAAAGTGGGTGGAGAGGGAAACTTAGGTTTACAAAGAGACTAGAGCTTGGAGAGAGTCTGGTCTGTTCACTGTCCCCTAGCTAGTTCATAGGCTTTGAACTGCCTCCAGGCTGGTGTTCTTTAACCACATTGCTTGGACCCCTCCATGCAGCCTCACTTCCTGCCCTTTCCTCCTGTCCTCTGCTATGGGGACTGGGTTCTGGGGCAGTAGGTATAAACTCAACTGACTGCCCCACTTCTCTGTCCCTCAGCCCCAGTCTAAGCCACTCCCTGGAGGCCAACCCTTCTCTACCCTGAATCCTGTCCTGGGTGCTGAGGTGTGAGGAGGACAGTCTCTGAGTCAAGGTGCTCCTTTTTAGGGAGCACAAAGACAGTGGGGGTGATGGGCTGATCAGAGCAGAGCTCTGTTGGTCTGAAAAAGAATCCTAGAATAAGAGAATTTGAATCAGGTTCAGAAGATCAGCTCAAGGCTGGTCAGGGGCATGCCTCCAGATAAAGCAAGCAGCCTGTGCAAGAGGATGGGAGGAAGGAAACACATTTATTGAGCTCCTTCACATTAATACATAATCCCTTCTTCACTACTCTGTTATATGGATCCCATTTTACAGTTGATGATACTGAGGCTTAGTAGAGAAGTTAAGTGGCTTGCCCAACTAGAACAAATAATTCATGCCACGGAATCATACAGGTAAGTTCAATATGGTAGGGAACAGGGCAATCAAAAACCTACCCTAAACCCAGGACTAGGAAGTTGGAATTCTCAGCAGCTGGAAATTTAGAGCCAGAGTCTGCCTGAGCTCAAAGGTGGGAGAGTAGAGGAGTGGAGGGTTAGGAGGTGGATGGGGAGTGGGTGGGGGTAGGTGAGGTAGGGGTATGCCAGAAGGCTGAGCTGGGTCTTTCCTTCCCTATTCTAGGTTTCCTCTGTTCATGGCTGTGTACAGGATATGCTATGAGAGGCAGCCAGTGGGCGAATTCATCCATTGCTTGCAGAATCATCCAGAACATTTGTGAGCAGAGCTGGGGCCCAGGCCAGGCACCTTCTTTGCCCCAATGGAGACAGTCAACAGCTTAGGGTACCTGGCCACCAGGACTTCTGGGACGCTCCATGGAGCAGCCTCTTCTGGAGGACAGGAGGCTGTGGGGCCCAACTATCTACCTGGGGATCCTGAACCATCAAGCAGCCTACAGTCTCTTGCCACCACCTCTCACCAGAAATGGAGTTGCCTTGTCCCCCTCCAGATGTGGGTCTTTCTCCTTGTCTTCTGGGCGGGGGAGACTCCAGCCCCAGTGCTGCCTGCTTTTTTGGGTGTGTGTGTTGGGGAGAGGATGAAGGGAGAGGGAGGCAAGGGCTACCCACTGCTGCCTCACACAGACCAGGAGTCCCGGCCCCAAGCCCAGTTAAGTGGCTAAAGAAGTACCTCAGCCACAAGAGGAATGAGGCAAGGGCTGCCAAGGAAGGGTCCGGGCTTTTGAGCTGACATAGGCCTCAGGGACCCCCTTGCTCTGACCTCTGCCGGGCCCCACACAGCATCAATGGATCTCAGTGTTTGTTAACAAAATACAGAGCTCTCTGCCCCCTCCTAGCTTCTCCTAGCAACATCTGCGTCCTCAGAAACCTCTGGTCATTCCTCCCCATCCCTCCCCCACCCAACCTCAAGGCTGCCCTAGCACCAGAGTTGCTGCCATGCTGGCGTCTCTGGCCCTAGGGCTTGTCATTCTCCCCAGGGACTTCCTAGTTCTTGCCAGCTCCTCCCCACCATGCATGACCTTTCCAAGACGACTCTCACCCTCTAGGCCAGCACCCTCGGCAGAGCAGGAACCTAATCTGCTGACAGCAACACCTTTTCAGAGCAGGCTCAGATCACTCTGCTTCCCTGTGACCTTTATATTTGCCCCACCTCCCTTCTCTGAAGCTCTAGTTGGGGGAGGTGTCAGTTGGGTCCCTCCTGCTTCTTTTCAAGGACCTCCCTGGCTTCAGCCCTTTCTTCTTCCCAGAACCTGTGCCTATTTCTCAGCTGCTCCCAGAGCAGCCAGGGCAGCTAACCAGCACCTGCGTCAGGGGCCAGGGGCCAGAGAGTGGCCCAAAGCCTGCTCAGGGACTGTGAGCAGGGAGGGGTAAGCAAGGCCAGCTCTCCGTTGTCACCTGAAGGCTTTCTCACGAGGTACTGACTCCATCAGCACCTCAGGAGCTGGGAAACTCAAGGAGGAAAAAATTAAAACCACCCTACCCACTGTGGTGAGGGAAGAACAGGAAGGGGAGGAGGGAATATGCTTTGAACTGGCCTTGTTCCAGGATGGGTTGGCAGCCAGGGAATGTCACAGGTCAGCAGCCTGGCCCCTGGCTACAAATAGGCCCTGTGGGCCTGCCAGGCTCCAGCCATGTTCAGCAGATCTCAGCTTCCTGTGGGGCAGCACCTGGCACACTGTGGCTCTGGCCAGCATTATGTTAACCCTTTCTTACTCCCTGCCAGATCAGGGAGGCAGGCTCCCCTCCTCAGCCCTAGCCCTTGAGGATTCACTGTCTTACCAGTGAAGGGCAGAGATGCCTGAATCAGGCTGTGAGAGTGAAGGCCACAGCCACCCCAGATTTGGCTGGGCCCAGGTTGGGGCTCTGACTGAATCCAGAGCTGCCTCCCCAAGAAGGTCAAAGTGAGGGCCGAGAGACAGCTCTTTTCTTTCGGCTGCTGCTGTAACCTTGTTAGAGAGTCCCACACCTTTGCCTACTTTTGTTCACTCCACAGTTAACAATCTAAGGCCTTCCCATCAAGCCTACTACTTGTCTACTCAATAAATTGTGGTTTTTCCAGAAAGGAGTTGGGGAAGGGCGCTTCAGTGCGTGGGGGCAGCGCGAGTGCCATGTTGTATCGCTGCGTGTTATGTTTCCATTTATGCCACAGGGAAAAATGAAGACAAGAAGGACATGTCTCCTCCATAATCCCTACCACTCCGGGCCCCTGGCAGGGGTGTCCACACAGTCCCTCTCCCCGCAAGGGGTCCCCTAACCCCGGCGGGTCCCTGCAAGCGGGGAGTTCACAATACGGTCCCAAAGCGCTACAGATGCGTCCCTCGTACCCACTCCGGGGCCGTGACCAAACCTGCCGCCTTCTTGGCCAGCCAGGCCTCGTGGTGCCAGGCCTCGCGGTACCTGGCGGATCTGTCCCTACCTGAGTTCGGCCGAAGCCGGCCACGCGGAAGTGAGCAGGTGCAGGCTCTAGGGGGCGCGCGGCCCACCTCCGGAGGGCTGACCCGGAGAGAATCCCCCCAGCTCCTGGAGGCGTCACCGCGCCCAGGCTGGGGATTGGCTGACTCTGAGTCGGAAAGATAGACGGTCTTTTTTCTGTGGTGATTGTGTATACTACAAGTTCCGGGGCTGGAGCTGGAGTCACCAAAGACCGGCTGTCCATGGAGAAAGACTACAAACCCCAGAATTCAACAGCGACAAGTTCCGGGGCTGGAGCTGGAGTCACCAAAGACCGGCTGTCCATGGAGAAAGACTACAAACCCCAGAATTCAACAGCGACAAGTTCCGGGGCTGGAGCTGGAGTCACCAAAGACAGGCTGTCCATGGAGAAAGACTACAAACCCCAGAATTCAACATTCCTCTCCGAGAGGAAGACTGGTCTGAGGATGCGTAGTAAGGGTGACTGGCCTGGAAGCGCAAAGGCGGCAACGCGCGAGCTGCGGCGTTTGCGGGTTCGGTTCTCTGTGGGCGGATTTGCGTGGGTTCGGGCGCGTGCTGACGTCTTTCGCGTCCCGAGCGGAGTCCCTAGAGGGTAAGTGGTACGGGTGGGAGACAGAACGGGTGGCTTCCTGCACTAATAGCCCCCCAGGAACGGGCCGGTACCCTCGCGTACATGGCCAGGCGTGCTGCGTCCGGCTGCGCTAGGAAATTGGCAGACTGCCGCGGCCAGACGCTGCCGGCCTTGGCCGAGGCCGCGGCTGGACGCCAGGAAGCAGCAGCACCTAGCACCCAGGTACGCCGTTGCGAGTGCCCCGTAGGGGCTGCTCGTCCGCTGAGGCGCCTCGTTTGGGGCCGGCCTTAGTTTACCCATTGTCTCATGCCCCGGCCTTCAGTGCCCTTGAGATCACCGCGTTCCCTGCCCCGCGCACCGCGAGCCGCCGTCCAGCACCGCTTCCAGCCCAACAGACCCCCGACAGCCGTAGGTTCCTGTCAGACTTTTCCTCCCACCGGGGGTCTTGGCCCTCCATGCTCCAACTTAAGTAGCTCTGACCCTTGCCTAACAGTCAGCTGCACCTTGGTGTGCGGCTCTCCCGGGCACCCTGTGCTGCCGCGTTCAGCTCCCGGAATGCTCTCCCCTTCCCTCTTCCCTACTGGTATACATCTTGTCTACCCTATTAAAGGACGGAGCCACCCCCCCGCTCCCAGCTTGCTGCTGACTTCTTGAGTCACCCCCCACTCTCCGCCTTTTCTCTGAGCTCTCACTTCGCTTCTCCTCTGGTCACCGCCCATCTTTTACGTTAAATAACTGAATTTGGGGTCTGTGGCTTTCCCCATCAGACATTAGCTACTTTGAGACAGAAGCCTTTTTTCCCTCTGTGACTTTCATAGCAGGAGTAAAAAGGTAGACGGATAAATGAGTAAATCTAAGCGGAGGTGGTTGGAACACATTTGAGGATGTGATTTCCAGGGGCGCCTGGGTGGCTCAGTCGGCTGAGCATCTGCTTTTGGTCAAGGTCATGACCTTCAGGTCCTGGGATTGGGTACCCAGTTGGGCTCCCTGTGAAGCGGAGAGTCTGCTTCTCCTCCGCCTCTCCCCCTGCTTGTGCTTTCTCTCTGTGTCTCTCTGTCTCAAATAAATAAAATCTTAAAAAAAAAAAAAAAAAAAAGGAAATGATTTCCAGAGCCTAACCCCGAGCCTCGAGGTACTGTCATGTTGGGGGGGCAGGGGCGGCAAAAAAGGAACAGAGCCAGAACTTTGCAGATTGCACTCCTATGGAATTTTCTATACTGTACTTGCTGTTGACATTATTTCAGGTATGTTATGACTTACACAGATGCTTGAGGGCTAACATGGGAACTTAGCCACCATGAACAAGACTGTTTTCATGAGAAAACAAATTGGTTACTTGTAGAAGGTTCCCATTTGATCCTCCCAGAGAGAGTAATTCACCGCTGATGTTTAATCCCTGACTACCCCCATTAATTCCCTACTAGCCAGAAAACCTGATGTGTGCTCATAGTCATATGTCAGTTAAGGACATTTCTGGGTGGTTCATACTAGTCCTTTATCTCCACAAACAGAGGGCCAGGTTTTACCTGTAATGTCATTCAGATGCACCTATTTCCAGCTCTGGCTGTATCTCGTATGCAGACTTTATCTTTCTGAATCTTTTTTTTTTTTTTTTTTTTTTTTAAGATTTGTTTGTTTATTTGACAGAGAGAGAGCCAGAGAGCACAAGCGGAGGGGAATGGCAGAGGGAGAGGGAGAAGCAGACTCCGCCCTGAGCAGGCATCCCGATGCGGCACTCGATCCCAGGACCCTAGGATCACAACCTGAGCTGAAAGCTGAAAGACGTTTAACTGACTGAGCTGCCCAGGCGCTCCTGTCTTTCTGAATCTTAAGTGTTCCTTAAGTGTTCCTGAACAGTATCTGCGTATGTGGAGGGGCCCTTCAGAGTAGAGTACAGACAGACTGAGCCTGCTTAGTGCAAAAGGTGGGGAGTGGCCTTACACAGAGAAGGGGGCTGGGCAGATGAGGCCTCACTCTTGGGTCTAAATCCAGTCTGTCTTTGTAGGGGACAACATGCCAACTGCCAAGCAGCTAGCTGACATTGGCTACAAGACCTTCTCTGCCTCCATGATGCTCCTCACTGTGTACGGGGGCTACCTCTGCAGTGCCCGAGCCTACCGCTATTTCCAGCTGCGCAGCGCCCGGCGCCAGGCTGCGGAAGAACAGAAGACCTCAGGAGTCCTGTAGAACTGGGGGTTTTCCTCCTTGAGCAGAGAGGCCTGAGGCATGCTGTGGAATGATCTCGCCTGCAATCCTTTCCAAGTCGAGAGAACTAGGGCCTTAATGGTTTTCAAATCCTGCTGAGAAATCCTGCCCCTGTTTTCTCTGGTACTGCTGGTTCGGGGAGGCGGTGGAATCACAACAGGAATGGGAGGATCAAGCACACCTACAGACATTAAATATGTTGTCATGTCTGTGTCTTGGTATTTTTGTTTACTTAAATAGGGTACGGAAGGCCGAGGTGGGGCCTTGACTACCAGTTTTCTAGTCACAGACTGGATTTCCGTATTTTGAGCTCTTGGCCCCTGTGAAGTGGGGGTATGCAGTTTTAGGAGTTGTGGTGTCAGCTCATGCTCTCAGACAAAAGACTGTTCCAGCATCTGTACACATCCCCTGAAAAGACTAAAGACCATAGCTCTTCTTGGTCAGTGACCGATCCTAGACCAATTACTGTGTCCAAGTAAAGGTACTCCGGCCAGCTCGTGGCCACACGTGTGCCTCTCAGTAAGGAAGGCAGAGGCCCTTGTGTAACAACAGCCCTATCAAAATTGCCAGGAGTGGAGGAGGCATAGTTCCCAAAGGGAAGGGTTATTGGGCAGCCTGTAGTAATGCAGTCCAGCTTCTCAGGCTCAGTGGGCGTCGTATTAGCATAGGGTTGATTTCTCCCTGTGCCAATGCACAGGAAGTCCACCTGCAGGTCTTTTTGCAGGGTTGTGCAGAGGATTTGAAAGAAAACCGTGCATTCAAGGTAAAACCCAACTAAGAGGACAGCTGTTCTTGCCACTCTTCCATTGTGAGCCTTGAGGCTTGCTCGTTGACTTCATTCTCATTCTTGGTAATCGTCAGAGATAACAATCCCCTTGGACGTTTGTTTTCTGTCATGCTTTCACTCCTAAACCTTTCACGTGTAAGCCCTCTACTGTGATAAGAAACACCCAGCCTTCCTGTACCACCAGGCCTTGTACTCCCATCCTCTCTTGGTGTGTTAGCCAAGAATTCCACTGCCTCTCCTTTCTCACTTACACAGAAAGTAGGTAGGGTCACCATTCTCCCAGCTTGCCTGTGCACTTCCAAAAAGTGTAATACCACTTTTTTTTCCCCCTCCCTTCCTCTGCCTCTTCCCTCCCCTCTCCTTTTCTTAACGTCATTGCATTTCGAGATGCTCTCTTACATTCTCATTTCCTGCTCTAGAACTTAAAGACTTCAGGTCTTTTGATTCCTTCTGTTTTCTTCCAGTCTGTCAGCCCTTTCTTGACCTAAACTGATTTCCTGTCCAGCCTGTGCCCATAGCAGAGCCCTCAAATAGCTCTATTGCAATCTTTGCCTCCTCCCTCATTACCCTTTTCCATCCCAGACCTTGCTCCATTTGTTGTCTTTAATTCATACTCTTCTTTCTTCTCAGTATACAAACTTGCTTAAGGCCCCCCACCTCCTGTCTAAACAGACTTCTCAAGGTTATTTAAGAAGTCTACGTGATGCTATTTCCACGGACTTGAAATTCCTTCCCCCTCCTCCATTGTGTTGAAACTCCTGGTTAGCGTGGCCTCTCTCGTGTCACACCCACTGATGATTGCAGCCTTCCCCGGCTGTTCAGCTGCTGCACTGAAGCTCTGCTTTGGCCACAGGGTGGGACCACTATCTTGTTTCCTCCTCTGCCTTTGACTTTTCCTTTTGATTTCCTTTGGGAATTTCTGCCCACTTTAAACACTGATGTGCTTCAAAGTTTTGTTCTTAGATCATTGCTCTCATTCTGTATGTTTTTCCTACATTATTCCAGGTACTCAATGGTTTTAACATGAAAATAGTTAAGTGCTTAGTGTTGGTATCCCAACTCTTACCAT